GTAACTCACATTTTACATATGAAGCCATTCCACCCCCTCTTTAATACTCTATCCCTATTAAATAGCCTGTAACCCTGTAATTCAGAGAAATTTCTGTCATCAAAATCATCTACATTTAACCATGTTTAACGTTATTCCCATTATATCAAAATCCTCCATTCCAACCAGTGCTCTAAAGCCATTTATTTTATTTCTTATACTTCTAGCATTACAATAGTAACAATTAAGCCCATCCTTATAATTACTTCTATACTCATTTCCTATGCTAAACTTTTCTCTGCCTGTTATTATTTTTGCATTTAGTTTTTCCTGGCCCTCACCAGTGTCTAGTCCTAGTTTAAAGCTTCCCTTACAGCTGAGTTAATAAATTTAGCAAACAAGCCAGCCCCTACTCTATTTAAATGTAAACCATCCATTCCAAAAAGCTCATTCTTCCACTGAATAGATCCCACAAGTCCAACCACACAATCTGCTCATCCTTACATACTAACCTAAGTCTAGCATTTAGCCCTAGTGACCAACTTATAACTTCATCCCCACAGTTAATTATGGGCAGTATCCCTGAAAAAAGTATTATTAAGTAAAGATTAATCTGTCTTATTGTGTATAATACTGTTTAATACTCAGGGTGGCCCAAAATTAATAGGACTCTAGAACATGTATAGAAGAATTGTACTTCCTGACAGCAGTCTCTGCCAGATAATAAATTTTCAGAAAACTCAGAAACTTATTTGACTGTAGAAATTGCTGCTGCCATCATACCTGTATTGACTAGAAAGAAATGTTACATTAATGATGTATCAAAATCCTATTACATTAAAGTTTTGTGTACCCATGGATACAGCTGCAATCAGCACACAAGTTCCTGTCAGCTTTATTTGAGAAAAAAATGACATCAACTGTTTAGATTTATAAATACCAGTAATATCACCAGGGTTAATTTGAGTGAAAGGGATATTCATTTCTAGTAATACTAGTGATATCAGAATGAATTTGATTTTGAAATTGACTATAAGATAAAACCTTTAAGACAAAAAAACACAAGAAAACAATGCACTACTATCATGTGAAGCTCTAACTGATAATGGATTTCAAGTAACTTATTTTTTAGTTGCATCATCTGACAGTTCCTATATTTTTGCACTTGCATAAAAATTACATTCAGATATAATTTTAGCTTAATCTTAAAACCATAATGTCTTGTAAATATAAGACTTATTTAAATATAATGGTTTGATTTTATAATTGCTACTGGTCCTAATTATTAAACAACTTTTCATCTAATATGTCCAACCAGACTGTTCTTAAGACATTAAGGACAATGCATAGTGTACAAAGTAATAAATATACCAAATAACACATACACTTAACTCTGACTGGCCTATCAAGACAATGCTTCACTAACCAGATCTACCATTATTTAAAATGGATAGTGCTCTTCTGAGAATGTTTACAAACATTATTATTTTGTGAAAAATAAGTTTTGCTATACAAAGAATGAAAGAAAACATTTATATCATATAACATTTTTTTTCTTTACAAAGTAATGGTCTAACATTATTAAAGGAAAGAAAACAAAATTTTACATTCAAAAACAAAAGCATAAGTTTACTGTATTTAAACTTTTGTAAAAACATTTCACACACATGCTGCACCTATCACAAACTACTAACATAGCAAAAAATAAAATATCTGAAGGGAAAACAATTATGAGACATACTTAAAGCTTAGACAGTTTCAAGTAAACAAATAGTTAATAGTTTTACCGAAAGAAACCATAACAAATAACATTAAATGACTCCCTGTGTGCTAAAAAAAACACCAATGACAAAGATGAATAAATTATCATTTTTAACAAAATTAGTCTTAGAAGTTGGTGAGCTTTTTGTTGATAAAATTGTTTTTCTTTTTACTTTAATGTATAAACATTTATAACATAAGTGAAAAATACTGAAAATAGAAAATAATTTTATATTTAAATTCCATAAAAAATTAAATCAAAGCAATATTTTCATTTCAGTTGATAATTTTAATTATAATCCTGATTAATTTTTCAGAGAATTAAAAAACAAAGTCAAAATAATCTCTATTTCCAATATTTTTTTTTCACTTCTATCATTTTTTCAAAAATATAAACTACTTCTGAGGTTTGTTTTATCAAAGATCACATTGACAATTCTACTAGTAATATTAATTACTGATTAATTATAACGTAATTGTGAAATGATAACCTATGGACATTGTATTACTTCATGTCAAATGTATACTTTATTACATAAAATATTATTTGATAACTTTATTCTACTAAAAATACCTAATAATTGATACATTGCTGCAGTAAAAAAATACATTTATTACTCAGAAACTCATGAAAAATGTTTCAAACTTCAAAGTATTCAATTCCCTCACCCCTCCACCCAGAAAAACAACAAAAAACACTAAACATGCATATGTGCTCAAAGCCTGTAATAAAAAATTCTATGTAATGTCAACATAAATTTTTCTGTTTACCACATATGAATAATTGATAGTGAATTTTTCTGCTTTTCAATGTCACAATTTAAGTAAGTGTAGCAAAATTCAAGCTGAGCCAAATAATTCACTGAAAAGACTGATAAGAAAATAATCTAAAAAGATAACTGGTTTGTCATTAAAAGATAGAATATTACAGTACTAGACTAAGAAACCAAATATGTGTCAACGCACCAAGAGCACCTAGACCTGCAGCTCGACAGTTAGCGAGAAGGAGACCTTGTTCAGTTTCCATTAGGGCAAGCAAGACTTCAAAAGCTGAAATAGTTTGGTCACTGTAGGAGAGAGCCAGTTGAAGAGCTGTGTTATTTGACTCATATTTTCCTAACAAGACACTTAACCGATCACACTGACTTCGATTCTCCTCTAGTGTGATGGTCAATAAGTCATTCTGAGACTTAAGGTGTTCAATCTTACTGTTTAACCTCTCCAGTTCCACTTCAAACTCACGGACCTTACACTCAGAGATAGCAGAACCCGAAGAGAAGGCAGACTGGAAAATTTCCTGAGTGTGAGAGCCCTCATGAAGGTTATGTACCAAATGTTCTGCTACTTTAGTTGTAGAAACCTAAAAATAATATAATATTCACCAAAAAATTCATTTGAAATTTTTTGTTCTACCACACTATGTAATAAATGTATTTACTGGTAAATTATAGAGCCTAATAATATTATTTTCCCCAAAACATTTACATGAAAATGCTACAAGTGACAAACATACTGAGTTAATTATTGAATAACTAAGCTATGTGAATTTTAATTTATTCACTTTAAAGCTTACTAATGAATTAAAAGATTACTACTACACACTATGAACAGATATCAATGTCAAAAGCTGGTAAAGCACAAGAAATCACATAAATTGCACATGTTTCTTGTGTTGTTGTTTTTACAAATTACTCTTAATTTCTCCACTTTGAATTTGAAATCAGAGATGTAGAAAAATAGCACTCCAGATCTATCTTTCTGTCTCCTAGAAGTCAGTGTTCAACATCTAAGTTTTACATGATTTTTATCACAAATGTTAGACGTATTGTATCTGTATATTTTTTGGGTAATACTAGGTGATTTTAAGGTGAGCAATATCAATTGTTTGCAATGTGAAAGCATATTAACAATTCAAACAGTCTTGATAATAGAGTTAGTACAAAGGATCACATATAAAGTGTAATAAACTTAAAATAAGACCCAAAACTCGAGCACTTTCGAATAGTTGAATATTCTTCTTCAGGAGAACAAAGGGTGACCTTTAGCCTATGCAATGCAATATATAGTGGGACGTGTGACGTCATGTAAACCGGAAGACCCAGTTGAGTTGAATCTGGTGACCAGCCAATCCCAACTCAAGCCATTAGTCTCCCGGAAGGGAGAATTCGTTTGTAGAGAAAAAAATATATGTATATATTATTAATTTTCAATATGTATGAAACTTTTGATTGATAGAGAAAAATAAAATACATAAGAAGATGAGAGCTAGAGAAAATAATACTGTAAATCGATACCCGAATTTTAATAATAATGTAGAGAAATAGAAGCATGAATGAAAATGTGAATAATAATAATAAAACTTTACAAATTTAATTACAAGTTATTCTGAATTTTTTTTTAGAGATGCTCGAAGGTCAACAGTCCCAGGATAGAGATTGATTTCATATGGTGTTACAGTATTTAACAGTGCTATCCAGTAAGCTTCTTCAATTTCCATGTTTCTGTCTGATGTAAAATTTGTCTCTATACCTGTCAGTATCATGTCGTCAAGAGAGTGGTCAGGCATGTTAAAATGTTCTGCAACCAGAAGTTCTTTGTTCGTTTTGATTGAGGGTTTGTGGTTATTAAACTGCTCCCGTATAGTTGTTTTAGTTTGGCCTACATACTGGAAGTTGCATTTTCAGCATTGAATTAAGTAAACAGCATTTTTTGTAGTGCAGAATACTGATTTACAACACTGCAAACCTACAAAAACAACATTTGATTTCTGAAAGTTGAGCTATTATTGGGCATTTCAATCAGAAAGACAATATTAAAAAACAAAAACACATATTAAATTGGTTCAAGAGATAAGAACCTACTTACTCCAAATGTGGATATTTCAGACCCAAATATTTGCCTGTCACCATATTCCATTTTTTTAAGTCTTACTCTTTCTGCCATTTTAGCAATGGGGGCCTCCTCTCTGGAAGTAGGAGTTCTTTCCCCTGTTGTTGGATTGATGTGTGGGGATTTGCTCTGGGTTGGGGAGCCTGTTTGAGAACCCTGAGAACTCTGTGACTGTATGCAAGCTAGTTTAATCTGCATGTCTCGAAACTGAAAAAAAAAAAAAAAATTCTCAAATACACAATATAGCACTATTATATTCATAGCAAATTAAGCAGTTTTAATTTTCTCCACATGATTTATCACTTCTTTTCTCTGAAAGTTCAATCACCAATCTGAGCCCACAGAAGATTCTGCATCTGATGTCTGCTACCATTGTTTTGGAATAATTACAATACTATAATATTTTGTAGTCAATATTATTCTTTTGGTGCTGACAACATTTATTACTGTTTTTCCCTTACTTTTCGATGAAGACGGTCCTTGTCTTCACGACAATTTATGTAAGCAGTGCGTGTCCTATTCAGTTCAGCCTCTTGTCTCTCTAGCTGTTCCTGTAGAGCTTTATTTTCTGCTCGAAGTCCCACAACTTCCTCTTGTAGCTGTGAAATCTGAAGGCTATGACATGAGGTGGCTCTAGTTTCTGTTAGTCTTGTAGCATCGTCATGAACCTTTGAAAAAACACAAAGAGAAGGCTGGTGAAAGAACACTCTTCTCAAAATATACCAATGACCCATAGCAGGCTAGATAATCAGTTACAAGGACATAGACTGTATGTTTTGAAAAATACCCATCATAGAACTTATGACTATACTGTTGAAAGTTAATAATCACAAAGAGAAGGCTGGTGAAAGAACACTCTTCTCAAAATATACCAATGACCCATAGCAGGCTAGATAATCAGTTACAAGGACATAGACTGTATGTTTTGAAAAATACCCATCATAGAACTTATGACTATACTGTTGAAAGTTAATAAT